CTCTACAGAAATGTCACCTTTGACGCTGTACTTTATCTGTATCATTTGCCTAGGACACTATTTCAAAATCTTGCTGCTTCTGTTGTCTTCCTACCCAATCAGTTTTGTTCTCTTTTCTTTTTTATCTTTCACAGCACCCACCTCTTGTCAGTTTAACACACCAATGCTGAAACGAGTGTTTCCAATTTTTCTCATCACATCTCCCTGTATGAAATTCACTGGCAGCCCCTCCTGCTTTTATATACCAAATTCAGATTCTTGCCCTTGCACGCAAAGCCCCTTAGTAGAAATCCCGGAATGATTCCAATTCCCTGTAGCTATAATTATATGAAACAACTATCAAATTTTGTGCAGAAACCTGTGAAAGCTAGCAATGAAATCAGATTAGTCCACATAAAAATAAAAAGAGTATGGATATTGTCTTCTGTCAAAAAAATTGCAAAGGTCAACCAAACAATGCTTTGGAATTCAGTATTGACATGGAAATTGCTTCCTCCCCTCCCCCTATTACTATAGACTTTGTAACTTTTAAAAATACAACATGGTCAAAAGCAATTTATGTTAAGTAAAAGAAGGTGTACCTTGTGCTTATTTTCTAAAAGCATTTTATTAACAAGGTACGCTAGCACTGGCCTCACCTTGTCAGTTTTTTTCTTCTTGCATTATTTTATTTTCAGCATTTAAAACCACCTTGCCAAATACTTAAGAAGGCCCTAAACTATCTTCTTAGGCAGACACTGTGGTTCATGTAAAGTGTCTTAGACATTATTAGGACCTCCTTTGTGAATGAAGAATGTAAGCCAGGTATTTGATATTGGATTGCATATATTTTCCCCCTCTTCAGCATTACGGAGATACTTGATATTGATTAAAATAAAGATGACACTTGTGCAGGAAAGCCTCGATTTACAATTTACAAGTCTCCTGTAGATCTGCTGGTATCAAAAGTGAAGCAGAGATCATCAGCAGAAGAGGTCAAAGCCCTGCTAGAAAATGCCTAATGGAAACCCAGCAGATGCAGCAAAAGCTTCAAAAAAAAGGACAGGAATGTTCCTGAAGGTAACTGTCAAGCAATGGCCTCCTGTGGTCCTTAGTTGTGGGGCAATCCTCCCATGAACCCTGACATGGAAAAAGAATCCAGAAGCCATTACTCTGCCTGAGCCTAGTATCCCAGGATATCCTGGGTGGATATTTTATGGTGGATTCACAAAAGCACCCATACTGCTGGTCAAAGTCTGGCAGGTAAAGTCCAGGAAAAATCTAAAAACACCATCCTTGGCTCCCTTAGTCAATAAGCACCTACTGCCCTCCAAGGCTGGGGCGCTGAATTTCTGTTTTCGGGCCCTCCCAGAAATTACATCCTCTCAACGAATCAGACCACATTCAGACTGCACAGGATTACAGTCTACATGTACTTGACCCTAGTTGTCCCAAAAACTTGGTTTAAGCAGCCTTCTCAAAGCATACTTGCCTCACTCACACACCTGTAAGGCCAGAATGAAGTAGAAGGGGTTGTTGGTCTCAACAGTACACCCAGGGACAGAAAAAAAACCCCAATCAACCAAGATTATAAGGTCTCCTACTACCATGTATCCTACTGGAAGAAAATGCAGGGTCTAAACTTTCAGCAAATTAAGATAGTTCATAATCACACCTCACAGAAAAGTGCACTCAGCCTTAGTCCAGAGTGGGTTAGGAAAAAAGTCTGCATCCATGTTGTTAAGGTGTGATTTCTGTGAAAAAGACAGCAGACTCACAGAGGGAAACTGAAGCACCTAAATCTTTCAAGGACTAACTCTCTATGCTTGCATGAGAAGCACCCAGACCTGGCCTAATGCTTTCAAGATAGCTCACAGTTTTTGAATTAAAATCATACGATAAAATAATACACATACAGTGGTGGATGTGGAGGGTTGGTCACCAGATCTACGCTCTTTCCTATCTACACTAATACAGTCTCTTCTGGTCTGTCTGTCTTTCTCTAACTTCATGTACCTTCTCAAAGGGCAAAGAAACCTCACCAAAATCTACCAATGCCCCCTCCTCTCCCAAACCAAACCAAATTGCCCATAGGTAGCACCTACCTAGGTAGTAAGGTCAATTTTCAGACAGTTGTTTTGTGTAGCTGTACCCCACCCCCTCAACACACAAAATGTAGGTATATCCTGCTTGGAAGAGAGCAAAAGCATCTCTCCCCCTGACTGAACTCTCCATGTTTTATGAGTGATTCACATTCACTGAGAGAATGCAGGCAGGCACATTCAGATGATACTTTAGGCTATGAAAATACCAATCTCGGATGCCTGGCTCAAGGAAGGAAAAAACATTCTAGAAAACAGAATTCTAGAAATATACCCTAACATACCCTCCTGGGGCTATTTCTATTATCTCCCTACGTACTGCTGCTTTCAGCTACATATTTCTGTGTCCTGTTCATCTCGATGTTGACTCAAGAGTGCATGGTGCATCTTTGTTTCGTGAATTGTACTTTGAAAGTGGGGAATCACCGAAGCTGTTCACCTCCTCCTTTTGCAGATGAGCAAGCCCAAAGAACTCCCCTGTGCAAGTGGGATCCTCACAGTACCCAAGTCCTTGTTGGCAATCTGGGAATGCTAGGCCTCCAGTAGCCAGCAGGCTAAAGTCAGCTCTGCCACTGAAACTGCCTTGAGCAACAGACAGTTGGATGGACAGACCTCCCATATACATCAACTTTCAAGTGGGTAGCACAGGCAGCCAAAGGGTTCAGTGCTCTGGAAACTCTGCTATTAGACTGTGCTAAAGCCACTAAAAGTTTCAGCAGTTATCTGAGAAAGTAGCATTTGCCCTTTTTATTACTATTGATGTCTAAGAGCAGTTGCTGCTATTTCTGACATGCAGAAGGAGAGGACTGCTTTATGCCCTTCCTCCTTCTCCTTTACACCCACAATTTCCTGCCCAAAGCTCATTTCAAACTGGCCTTGAACCAAACGATTTTTTTTCCTTTTGAAATACTGTGATTCACCCAGCTCCTATCAAATCACACTTTAAGATATGTGTCTTGTAATGTTTTACTTTCATAGGGTACAAGGACATTCATCAGGAAGAACAGGAAGCACATACTGATTTACAGCTCTGTCAGAATACTCAATAGACAGACAGAAGAAACACTCTTGAGTTAGCCTTCCAACCAGGAACTTTTAAAAGCTTTTTAGAAATTTCTGATTTTTTTTTTGTTTTGTTTTGTACAAGAACTTCCACTGTCTTCAAATCTGTAAATCTAATTAAGCCTACCTATATGAAATTTACATACAAACTCTAAATGAGTGTAAAGCAGCAGCAATTATAATCAAAGATTTGAGAAAAATAATGTGCTAAAACTTTTACTAATGAAATATTACAAAATGTATTAAAAAACCCCTTTCTGTCCAAATGTTAACTCTGATCCTTTATTCAAGGGTAGATAGCAAGTTATTTTAAAAACAGTAGGGAGCTTCTAAAGACTTTAAAATTATCATTAAAATAACATGAAAATAAAATTTTGAAGCATGAATGCTCTTCTAACTACCACAAAAAAATAACATCAAGAAGTAATGAGAGAGATCATACAGCAGTAAATAAGGAAAACAGAAGTCTATTTTCCAAACTGGGATAGCACACCAGACTCATTTTCTTTAATACTTAGTGTACTTGTGGCCCAATGGGAACTGAGAAGAAAAAAGCACCAACAACAAAACACCCTTGTGAAAATGCTGAAGAATGGCACCTACAGGCAGGAAACAAACAAGAACCTGTAACCTGGTACAAAAAGGTGTTACTTAGAAGTTAAGAGTTTCACAACTAAAACTGCATGGGTGCCAGACTTTCTCCCTGCTGAATGAGACCTAACAAATTTTAAGGTGCTTTTAACAGGGACTGAACATGATTGGTCTTATTACCTCTCTACAAAAGTACAGCTGTATCAGATTACAGAAAGGCAGTTTAACTAACAAACCCAGTTAATACCTTGAAGTTCAACAAGAAAACATTCTGCACTTTCCCTTTAGAAAAAGGCTTTTTAATAGTCTGAAACATTTCAAAATTTCTTCATCCTTTACTATTTCACTGAAAAGATGTTAATTTTGATGGCTTCTTTCCACTGACAAAGGTTTAGGATTTTACCAGCAGACACCGAAGGGAACCGCAGAGCACGAAACACAACCCTCCGAGTGCCTTTAAAACCAGTTTCTTACCTTTCAGTCACACGCACATATCACATATTGTTTCTGAAATCCACTCATCCATATGTCAAGCTTCCCACGCTTCCCGTTCAAGCATTCAAAGGACAGGCAATACTAAGAGACGTATAATACAAGGACTCTGCATTCGTTGTTTTAAAAAACACTCAATGTCATGACCTACATTATTATTGTCTCACTGTTGCAGCTTAATGCGTGTAACTTAAACGGGGACTCACCTTGCATGATAACGCGAGTGCCAGGAGACGCAGGCATTGGACGAGGCAAAGTGTGACGTGGTTGTCTCAGGTTGACTTTCTGTGAATTTGGTAGCATGCCAAGAGTGAGGCCTGCAGGCTAGGTCATTTCTTCTGAAAACGAGAGAGTTGGAGCGTTACAAGTGGACTAGTTCAATGCAAACAGTTCAGTAAGGTGACATGCAGCAAAAAAATCTACCAGGGCTGTAGTCAAACATACGGGTGGGTGAGAGGCATAATGACTTCACATGACAGCAGATGAGACAACTTTCTACATGCATGCCAGTTTTGAAAAGACACCAGCATTCCTTTAAAATGCTCAAGATGCAGTGAAATGCCAATACTCTCCAAGGCCTGTGCTTGCATACTTCGGGTTTAAAAATAAATACGTGTTTATTTTGGAGGTGGGGTGCTTTTTATGAGGGGTGGAGACAGGAAAACAAATTTTAAAGTACCAGACACATATCCAGAGCTTTAATAGTTCAAGTTAATACTAAGACTTATGAGTCTTTTACAACCTGTCAATAGTACAATAGGGCTTTGGCAAGCTTTTACTGTAAGCATGTGCTTTATGGGAAGAGGTGGGAAGAAAAGAGTTAATGACAGGAAAGAATAAAGCCATATACACTGTTTCATATAAGTTCGTAAGAGTGAGATAACTAATAATTTTAATTCCATCCAAGTTTGCCTTCAGCTCTTGAAATCTTTGGCACCCTAGGTATGCAGGGTTATTTTTGGAGGGGTTGTCTTTGGTGGGGGTTTTTTATGGGTTTTTGTTTGTTTGTTTTTTGGTTTTTAAACAATATACCTCAAAAACAGCTCAGCAATCCCAAGTCCCCAGATATCTATGTGGATATCAGCTCCAAATATACATGCTCATGTAAATAAAGAAATCTCTTCTAAGAGGTACAACCATAAGTTGTTAAGAGCTTTGTACCTTGCAAACCTTCCTGCAAAACTGCTCTACACACTTCTTCCTTCTGCTCAGGAGGAAGCTTGCACTTCTTTCATAGAATCATAGAATCCTAGGGGTTGGAAGGGACCTCAAAAGATCATCTAGTCCAAGCCCCCTGCCAGAGCAGGGTCACCTAGAGTACATCACACAGGAACACATCCAGGTGGGTTTTGAATGTCTCCAGTGAAGGAGACTCCACTCATGGGCAGCCTGTTCCAGGGCTCTGTCACTCTCACAGTAAAAAAAATTTTTGGGATATTCACCTTGAACCTCCTATGCTCCAATTTGCACCCATTACCCCTTGTCCTATCACTGGTCATCACTGAGAAAAGCCTAACTCCATCCCCCTGACACTCACCCCTTACATATTTGTAAACATGGATGAGGTCACCCCTCAGTCTCCTTTTCTCCAAGCTAAAGAGACCCAGCTCTCTCAGCCTTTCCTCATCAGGGAGATGTTCCACTCCCTTCATCATCTTTGTAGCTCTGTGCTGGACTCTTTCAAGCAGTTCCCTGTCCTTCTTGAACTGAGGGGCCCAGAACTGGACACAATACTCCAGATGCGGCCTCACCAATGCAGAATAGAGGGGGACCAAGTCCAAGGACTTGCTGTTCATAATACCTTTCTGTGCCCACTAAATAAGTGCATTATTTTCCCCCCAGTGTTGAATAAACCTTCTAAATGGAATTCAGCTACTTCTGTTTAAGTGAGCAGAAGTCAAGCACAGGCCATTTGCCTAGATCCTCCCAGTCACCCGGAAACTAAGCAAGTACTTCTTGAAGGTAATTGATCCTGCCCTCTTCCTCAGCTCATCTTAAGGGAAATGCAATTTAAAATTTAGATGAGGTAGAAAGTGAGACAAATCCCATCCTTCCAAGCCTTCCAAGTCTTAAACAAAGGCTCACAGGACCTCAGCTCTTGAGGGTTTTCGTAACACGCTTAGGAATTTCACTTAAGAGTATTTGTGAAGTTAGTTACTGCAAGGTTAAGTAATTTGTCTAAATTGCAAATTAATTTGCTAAGCTGAGAGTGTTCCCTATTTTCAACTTGAACTCTAAAGACAGGTCTACATTTTTTAACTCATTCCCTCTTTTTATAAGTTTGGGTTATCAGCCACTGGATTTACAGAACAAAACTAATGCTCATTATAAACTCTGTGTCTTCAAAACAGGTCAAATTTGAGTACACAGCTTTTTGTGGTACACTTTGGAAGATTTTATTAATTCAGTGATGAACTGCCTTTCCAAACTCTGCATGCAAAACTACAAAAGCAGACTAATAACCCTGCAGCTGTGATTTAAACTAAGAAGTGTAGCATCATTACTGTCACTAAAAAAAGAAGTAATTGTTTCCATAAACAAAAGACTACTCTCTTCCCAGCATGACAAAAGAGAAAACAGTTAAGCAGAGCATCACTGCATTCTTCTTGGTAGAATATGAAATCCAGTCAGTGGAGGAGCCCGAATACTCTCAGTGCAAACAAGGGCAAAAGATTCTGCTCGGCCACAGGATGCTGGGCTTCAGATCTGTAAGTGAAAGGCCCCCAAGTCTTTGTTCAGCCCATATGGAGCCTGTATGGAAAAAAATTGTTCCACTGTTCAGCTGTGCCAAATGTAGGAGTTGTTTTTTCCCCACAGCTCACCTCTGAAGGTGCTGGTGCCAGCTCACCAAACCACAAATACCTATTTAGGCAAATTCAATAGATCTCCTAGGCATCGATTCAGCAAAAAGATTTACCTACTATGAGACAATTACTTTTCTGTAAGGCACCACTAAGGAAACACAAGACTAGGGCACTAGCACAACACAAGCAATGTGTAGAGCATGAGGGAATGAAGGCTGGGAAAGAGGACTTCTGTGATGGTTTGCTATGGGTTTGGCAACTGGTAAAGGAATTCAATCACTGGGAACGAACAGAAGGGTTGCGCTTTTAAACTCAGTACAGTACCTCATGGAACTTCTCAAGATCTTCACAAGATAGTTTCTTGCCACATGAACATCATTTTCAGATGGCTTCTTCTGTGCTACAAAATCCACCACCACTTTCATCTTTCTGAGCAGCCAAGCAAGGGGAGGAACAGACTGGACTGAGTTGTGACGTGAGGGAAGTCAAACGAACAAGAACTTAAAAGTTCTGTTTAATTTTTTTATATATGTGGACACATTTTCCAGAGGGTGTTTTTTATTTTGTTTTGTTTTTAAGATATAACAGTCTGAACAGCCCAAAAATACTGGTGGGTAGAATCACACAGACACCTGCTTTGGCTGAAGTTCACAACATGACAAAACATTAATTTATTGTGTACTGTACATAGTCAACAATGTTTACTGCTAGATTCTCAACATTTAATTACATTTTCTATTTCCTGCACCTCAATGAACAATTTTTTCTAACAATAAATGGAACATAGCATGTTAAGTGATTCCAAAACTCAGAACATAATGGGCAGAAAGACTGGGAAGAAAAGCTTAAAACACTCAAAACAGGAATATTTTGCAGGCAACTAAAGATGCTGGAAGCTGAATACTTATATTCTAATGTGATACCTCTGTATTAATTCTGAGTGACAGAATGAGATCATCTGAACCTACAACCCAGAAAACCCTTAGCATTAATAAAAGCATTTCACCAAGACTGTCTTTCTATCAGTGCTTTTACAAAAGCTACTGGAAGGAAAATGTTGATATGCTTTGAAGATACGATGCAAAGGGGAAAAAAACAGCTTCTATTGACTATAAGCAACCTGTTATATTAGATAGTGCGTCTCAACAACATGTGTGTAAATACTTGAGCAATAGAACAACTTTTCCAATCCAGTTTTTCAGAATAAACGTGTCCTTTTACAGTTAATCCTTGGAAAGCATTAAGATATTCTGAATTTCACAGGCTATAGAGACACTGGCTTAGACTGCTGCAGTAACACTGAGCAGGCTGACTGGATGTGGCCGGGGAGGGGGTTCTGGGAGGATGGAGGAGGGAAGGGAGGGGGGGGAAAGAGACAACATTGACTTCTTTGACTAAGAGATAAAAACAACTAAACTGGACAAGCAGATTTATCTGTAAACAACAACAGAAGTCAGAAAAATATCTTAAAACTGAAAAGCAGACAGGGAATAGAATGAAGTAACTGAACTACCTCTGCATACAACACAAATACCAATGAATACAGGCCACTCCCTCTGGTTTCAGAATTTCTGTAGGTCCCGTCCAGATAAAAGGGCAGCAGACAGAAGAGGAGTGCATTCCCCTTCCCCCCACCAACAGAATTTCTGGTTTATCTCCCACACACACACACCAAGAGCACCCTCGCCGCAGCAGGCTTTTTGCAGACGAAGAGCAGGCAGCTCCAGAGACCCGCACCCAGGTGGAAAGCTGGGATGGCTGGGATGTATGTGCCTGCTGAAGGTTTGGCTCCAGCCCGGGGCTGGGTCAGCAGGGGGGGGGGTTCCCTGCCCTCCAGCCCCCCGGCATCACCCTGCCCTTCCTCCAGCCCCCCGGCATCACCCTGCCCTTCCTCCAGCCCCCCGGCATCACCCTGCCCTGCCCTGCCCTCCA